CTTTCGGACCTACCTCTCCAAAATAGCCACTGGCTCCACATCATAAGTCAAATCTCCGTCTAACTGAACTGTGATAAAATCCAAAACATGAGACGGATCGCCAATATACTTCCGGATAATAGAAACATGAAATACTGGATGCACACTCGACAAGCTAGGTGGCAAAGCAAGCTCATAAGCTACCCCCCGATCCTCCGGAGCACCTCAAAAGAACCAATGAACCGAGGGCTCAATTTGCCCTTCTTCGCAAATCTCATAACACCCTTCAAGGGTGAAACCTTTAGTAGGACCTTCTCCCCAACCATGAAAGACACATCACGAACCTTTTTTCCGTGTAACTCTTTTGTCTCGACTGGGCTGTACGAAGCCGGTCTTGAATCATTTTCACCTTGTCCAAAGCATCATGTACCAAGTCTGTACCCAAAAGCCTAGCCTCGAGCGGCTCAAACCAGCCCACTGGAGATCTGCACCGCCTCCCATGCAAAACCTCATATGGAGCCATCTGAATACTCGACTGATAACTATTGTTATATGCAAACTTCGCGAGTGGTGGAAACTGGTACCATGAACCACTGAAATCAATGACACAAGTGCGCAACATGTCCTCCAATATCTGAATAGTGCTATCGGATTGTCCGTCCGTCTGAGGGTGAAAACCTATGCTCATCTCAACCTGAGTACCCAACTCTCGCTGCATGGCCCTCCAAAACTACAATGTAAACTAAGTATCTCTATATGAAATGATGGAAACTAGGACACCATGCAGGCGAACAATCTCTCGGATATAAATCTCAGCTAACCACTCTGAAGAATAGGTAGTACACACTAGAATGAAGTACGCGGACTTGGTTAGCCGATACACAATCACCCAAATAACATCAAACTTCCTCAAAGTCTGTTGGAGTCCAACTACGAAATCCATGGTGATCGGCTCACACTTCCACTCTGGAATATCCATCTGCTGAAGCAAGCCACCTGGTCTCTGAAGGTCATATTTCACTTGTTGATAATTGAGACATCGACCTACAAATGCCATTATATCTTTCTTCATTCTTCTCCACCAGTAGTGTTGTTTCAAATCCTTATACATCTTCGCGGAACCCGTATGGATGGAATACTTCGAGCTATGGGCCTCCTCCAGAATCAACTCCAGAAGCCCATCTATATTGGGCACACATATCCGGCCCTGCATCCTCAACACCCCATTATCACCAATAGTCACATCTTTGGCATCGTCGTATTGAACTTTGTCCTTGATGATAAGCAAATGAGGATTATCAGGCGGAGGTTGGAGTCTCCCAAACCTCTCCAATCTGCGCTGCTCGTCCTCTGGCATACCAGAAGCTACATCGTCCTGAGCAGCTGCAACTGGCTGGGCTGGAGGTGCCTCCGGTGTCTAAAGTCCCTGAACAGCCTGCTTAGGTGTGCGAGCGGCGGGAGTTTAAGTGCCTCTCCCGGCCTGAAAAAGTAGTTACATCCGTAATAATTGAGACCGCCTGAGCCAGGCTAGTACACTTTGATAGAATCTGAGTTAGGGCCTCCTAAAGGCCTGGGATAACAATAGGCACAACCGGTGCCTGAGCTGGTCCTGCTGGAGCATCCATAACTGGGACCTGATCATGAACTGGGGTGGCTGGTGGATCTGCAGGTGCTGCCCTAGTTGTTGTACGGGCTACACCATTGCCCCTACTATGACCTCGACCGCGACCTTAGCTTCGTCCTGTCCGGTAGCACATGTCCTCGCCATCTGTAAGAGAATATAATAACAGAAGTTTAGTTACCAGAATCAATAGATTCGAACGACAAGAATTCAGGAATGTGAAGTTTTTCCTAAAGGTTCTGCAACCTCTCAAAAATAAGTACAGACGTCTTCGTACCGATCTGCAAGACTCTAATAAACCTCGCTCATGACCTGTGAGACCTATGTAACCTAGGCTCTAATACCAACTTGTCACGATCCAAATCTACCAGGTCATGATAACACCTAACATGGAACTAGGCAAGCCAACTATTCCATCAAAACAACCAAATATTTCATAGATAAGAATTCCTAAAGCTGTTAGCTAATAAAACCTTATATCATAAGTCAGATTAACAAGTGCGGAAAGAAACGAAAGCCCGCCATCGGGGTGTCACAAGTCACGAGCACCTACTAAGGTCTTTCCGAAAACAACTAACACTTATATAGTCAGGAAAACAACTAATAAAGTCTAACGGAAGATAGGAGGGAGAAGAGCAAGGCTACGATCGCCATGAAGCTACCTTGCCGACTTCGAAGTATCAGCGACGGATGAAAGATCAGCGCTCATTATCACGTCCAATAATACCTGGATCTGCACGTATGGTACAGGGAGTAATGTGAGTACGTCAACTCAGTAAGTACAACATGCTTTCAATTCAATATATGAGTCAAATCACCTCGTTTGAAATCCAATTTTGGTAAAGATCATTTAACGGTACTTTTCAGCAGTTTACATAGAGGTTCAAGGCAAATATAGAGTAAAAATAATAAAAATCATAAACTACCCCTCGGGCTAACATCAGTCAGAATCAGCCCCTTGGGAAAAAGTCATATCACTCACTCAGAGTACCTGCGCTCACTGGGGGTGTGCAGACTCCGGAGGTGCTCCTACAGTCCAAGTGCTATAACACGTACGGACAACTCACGTGCTGCATGGACAACTCACGTGCTATAGTATCAATATCAGAATCCGCACGGACAACTCACATGTTATACTCTCAATATCCTCACAATTACATGCTCTCGGCCTTACTCAGTCGTAAATCTCTCAAGGCACTCGGACTATCAGTAAAAAGAGGGTACTTAGCCCAAAAATATCTTTTTATGCATCAAAATGGAGTAATAAAGATTGCGTTATGAAATCAGTAAAATATAGAATGACAGAGTACAGATCTTAAGTCAAAACAGTGAGGAAATTATAAGAAAATACCACTAAGGCCAAAACAGCTTTGGCACAAGGCCTAAATATGTCGTTCAACCCAATTTATAGTAGTTCTTTCTAAAATACATAAGTATCAAATAGTTTGCAGTCAAATACGCAACTTTATAGTTGTTACGGGATGGACTAAGTCACAATCCCCAATGGTGCTCGCCCACACACCCATCATCTAGCCTGTGCGTCACCTCCAAATAGCGAAACAATATGAAATTCGGGGTTTCATACCCTTCGGACAAGATTTACAATTATTACTTACCTCAAGCCGGACAAAAACTCTAACCCGCGATGCACTTGCCTCCCAACTCGGCCTTCAAATGCTTTGAATCTAACCAAAAATCAGTATATTATCATCAATATACGCTAAAGGAATGAATTTTACATAAAAATTATCAAATTAGACCAAAAATTCCGAATTTGGCTCAAACCTGGCCATCGGGCCCACATCTTGAAATCCGATAAAATTTACAAAACTAGGAAACTCATTCACTCACGAGTCCAACCATACCAATTTTTTCAAAACCCGACTTCGAATCGACCTTCAACCCTCAAAACCCCATTTATGAAGTTTCTACAGATTGTCCCCAATTTTCATTCCAATTCTCTAACCAAATGATGGATTCCATAATATATTCATGTATTTTAGACTAAACTGAGTTAGAATCACTTACCTCGATGAATTTCTTGAAAAACCATGGAAAAATCGCCAAAACTCAAGCTCTCTAGGTCAAAATATGAAAATAAGACCCTGAATCTCGTATTTATAGTGCACCCCTCGGATTCAAATCTCGCTGACTTCCAAAAACCACCGCCGCTCCGTTATCTGCGGAATTTTCACCGCGATTGCGAACACCTCTAGTTCATGCGGTCGTGTTCCTTCTTCCGCTGTCCGCGCCAGCCTTCACTGCTGACTGCGGAAATATTGCCGCCCCCGCGATGTCCCTTCGCCGACCGTGAAATTCCGGCACGACCCACACTCCCAACTGCAGAAACCAACATTAGCAACTATTTTCAACAGCTATACCCATCCGATAACTACTTGAAACACACCCGAGGCTCTCGGGACCTCAACCAACCCCACAAACACGTCTCATAACATAATTCAAACTTAATCGAATCTACGAATCACTCAAAATAAAACCAAACATCGAATCAAATCTCGGATTCAAGCCTAAGAACTCCAAGCTCCTAAATTCCACAAATGACTCTGAAACCAATCAAACCTTGTCCGAATATTCTCAAATTTTTGAACATAAGTCACAAATGACCCTACGAACCTACTGCAACTTCCGGAATTCCATTTTGACCCCGCTATCCAATTTTCCATTGCTGACATGAAATCACCAAATTTTTAATTTCGCCAATTCAAGTCTAATTCTACCACGGACCTCCAAATTATATTCTGAACATGCTCTTAAGTACAAATCACCTAACAGAGCTATCTGAACCATAAAAATCCTAATCTGAGACCGTTTACTCATAAGTCAACATCCGGTTGACTTTTTTCAACTTAAACTTCTAAATAAGAGACTAAGTGTCTCATTCTACTCCAAAACCACTCCGAACCCGAACCAACCAATCTCATACAACACAATACAGCTGAACAACACATAAAGAAGCAGAAATGGGGAAAACAGGGCTATAATTCATGAAATGACCAGTCGAGTCGTTACAGAATAGATGTAATAAAAGTAATCTGAACCAATAAGATGCTAATTAACTATGAATTACAGCTGAATCGGAAGAATTTTAAAAAGAAAAAAACATTAAAAGTAGTTTATGGCTTCTACAGGTGATGGCTCAAATAACATGGGATTACATTATTACTAAATCAAAAATAATTCACCATTAATTGCTATAATGAGTATCAACAACAAAACAACGTTGACAAATATTTATGTCAACAAAAAAACGCCAACTACTATATGACGAGTGTCCCATAACTAGCTATAGCAAGAAGTCTTTTTTCCTGTGAAAGGTCTGAAGAGGCAAGAAAACATATTACTGATCGAGTCCCGCTTAGTTCTTTAACATCAAAACTGATCAGTTGCATGCTAGCTGACTAAATTGTGCCTTCTCTGCTGGAAAAATAGCATATCCCGGTCTGAGGTTATCACTTGAAGGCACATGAAAGCACGTTGAATACCAGTGCTGCTTAGAAACCCAACTTCTGCGGCCATGACTAAAAGGGTTAAGAATAACCTTATTAGTGATCAGCCCATGATCTTCTGGATGATATTTACTAAACGTACCACTCTTGATGAATGGCTGACTGAGTAGCATATCTGCAGTCCATCTCCAACTATGATCCATTTCAAAACACTTGGCCAGAAAGTCTTTGCATATATTAGAAACGTTACTCGAAATCACAGGTTCTTCATGTGTAATCTTAAAGTCCAAATCATCAATACCTTCACAACATGACGATAACCGCCTCCCTGTGATCATTTCTACAACTATGCAACCAATTGCCCAAATATCAACAGCTTTACCATGAATCTTACAAGCTGTAGATTCTGGGGACGCATAAAGTAGAGCCCCTCTATTATAACAACACTTCTTTGAGCCTCTATCCCAATATGTATGTGTTTCGTTTTCTACCACTCTCAAAGACAGTCCAAAATCGGCCAACTTGAGGCACACATCCACAATACTATCATATTCGTGATCAATAATAAGAAAAACAAGTACATTACTCGGTTTCATATCGCAGTAAATAAACCCTTTGCTATGAACATAAGAAATCCCTATTAAAAGCTGAAAAGCATAGTATGTGACCTCCGATTATTCGAGCGTCATCTTAGACTTAGAGTAGATATCAACTAAATCATGCAAAGTGCCACCGACAGCATTTTCAAGCAAGAGGTTATAAGTGTGTTTACCGCTTTCGACGCTTACATCTTCTCCGAAGCACTGAACTACGTATACTTTGATGACTTTTCCTTCTCTATGTAAATGTATTCTTAACCCTAGCAATGACAATAGAATACAGACTTTAATTCGGTGACTAACTTCTTCCTCTTTAGTACGTAACCCTAACACGATTAACAAAAGTAGACGATGACTTCTCTAGCTACTTGCTGGGACCAAACACACACGCAAGTATACGTGGCTGTCAAGTAATAATGTGACTCGAAAGTCGGATGTTGAACCCACAGAGACTTAGATTAACCGTTAACTAAGCAAACTAAAATCAATTTAGTGTCCAAGATGATCAAAAGTTTAACTTTTCTATTACACCTACTATTGCAAAATTTAAACATGTAACCAAGGGAGATATAGATTCTAGGGTTGTGGTTGGTTTATCAATCCTATTGAGTTCGTAATTACACTTGTTAATCCAAATAATCTATGGTTGCTAGTTGATCGGATCATTTATATAAATAGCATGTTCCCACAATACTATTCGTCTATCCATAAAATATCAACCTTATATTCCTATGGTTTGAAATCTATCATGAACGAATATAATACGGTATTCAACTAAGCAATACTGTTAGGTATATTCTTATCCTAGCTGCGAAATCATTCCCCGAGCCACGGGTTCAGAAACAAACTCTCTCAATTCTACTATAATCTAAACACGGCTTTACAAGTATAGCATAGATAGTAAATAGAACTCAACCGATGGCCAAACAATTAATCAATTATGCACCGAATTAGAGAAACAACCAAAGATGATAACTCGAATTAATGGTAATATAATTAACAAACTTCAATATTCATGGCAACCACAACCCTAGAACGTGAAGTTTAGCTTCACATCGACAGGGTAGAACAACAACAATTCATGTAAAGAAATATAAAGATTACTCAGTTTGATGGAGGAAAGATGGAATGTGATGAATTCCGGCCTCCACGGCGGCTCCGTGCTCTCCCTCGATCTAAAATCCTGTCTTCCCTAAAAACATGGTGTTTAATGACTATTTATATATGTAGGGAAAAGACCTCAACAAATACCCAAGTCCAAATTCAAATAGGAGACCAAATAGGCTTTAAAAATCCGGAACCTGCTCGCTACGGACCTCGCCTCGCGAGGCAAAACGCGAGCTTCACCTCGCTATACCACTGGCGGCGCGAGCTCTGCAGCTCGCTTTCTACCGTGCGCCGCAAAATCCTTCGATGCCTCTTGCTGCTTCGTTTAAAATGCTGCCTAACAATTCCAATTATTTTCTCATCTATTTGCTCGTCCTCGTTCTTGTCTTTCTTTGTTTTTCACTTGCAATTGCTTATTTCTTTTGTCTTCTTCTTCCTCGTTTGTTTTTTCATTGTCATCAATAAATTCCTTATCATTATATAATCATAAGCCCATTATTTTAGTGTATGAATTACACTTTAAATATTTTGCTCCAACTTCATTTTTAATGTACCTACACATAAATAAATTCAATTAATCACAAATATAGTATAATTTAACATTAAAGCACTTAAATATAAGGTAAGTAATGCACTAAAAATATAGAATTATAGTCAAACATCACTAACCCACACTTAAACATTGCTCGTCCTCGAGTCAACCAACAATTCACACTACTCTTGAGCACTTTGTTTTTACACAATTGAGGCACACTACACCAATGACCATGGTTTATAGCAAAAAATAGCAACAAGTAAATCTTAGCATATGCAATCACATACACTTCCCTTTTTCTTATGCCATACTTCAAAAATATTTACAATAAAGATAACACGCTCATAACACTCCTAGCTTCAAAAATCAACTAAATGTCACAATGCACTCATGGCTTGAACACTCAACATCATAGAGAGAAGTCTAATAACGTTACATATCCTTTGTGAAACTATGTTCCCTCACAACAAGAACAAAAAAGTAAGTTGAATTCATACATTCAAATCAAATGCTCAAATATATTTTAAGGACTCATGCATATCAAAGAAAATCTTTCACTCTCACAAAAGAAGTCACATGCATGCAATTGGTACCATAGGCTTGCCCATAATGTAAATCTCTACTAATGTAGGCACACTCGATCTAAAATCAATTAGGACTTTTTTATGGTTGTAATATGGGCTAAGGGACGGGAAGGATATATTTAGGAATAGTGGTTAACCCTCCTAAACACTTTAACACATCACATAATCGACTGTAAGCGCAAATTCTTCAGTCCCAATTTTAATTTCACAACTAAAATCATCCCTAACAATGTTCCCTCTTTCTTTAGGCACTACTTTAATTCATATCCACTAGCAAGAATAAGATATCAATTTATTCATCTAAAGATTTTCTTTCTCATTTTTTAGATTTTTTTTTTTTTTTGCAATTTTCACTAGTGGTGTATTCTTTTACAAAACAAGTGCACCTTTCTTTCTTTCATTGGTTCTACTCAAAAGTCACTCCACACTTAGTCCCTTCTTACTTCTTTTAGCGCTCATTTTACAATTAAAGTGCTTTAAGAGTTAAATGATCAAAATAATATCAATTAAGAATAAAAATGGTATAGGCTTGTAATGTGGGTGCCAAATAAAAGTCTATAGGCTCAAAATGGTTAACTAGGGATAGATTTTATTTGTGATAAGCATTAAACTCAAAAAGAACATAGACAGTCTAAAATCATTTTTCAAACCGGGTTCACCTAAAATTTCGCTTCGACTCACATACCGGGCAAGTTCTAGATACAAGTACAATGACATGGACTATACAAAAATCTGACTTCACACATGGCACATGACTCACTAAGGACAGTCTCATTCCGACTCCCAAACTAATGCAAGTATTCACGGAGCCACGAGATATTAAGCATTAAGCACAAAGTGAACATAAGTCAAGAAAATGAGACATAGGCGTCACAAAATATGCTATTCAAATAACCAAGGCATCATAGGCACTTTTAGCACACAGGAAAGATACTACTAAATATGCTACTATCAAATAAGTCAAGGGTGCCTAGGAATCTCATCTTTCTTCCTCCATTATTTCATAAGTTCTACTCTAAAAAAATAAAATAAAATAAAAAACTACTACCCGGTTCAAACTACGTCCCATGAAAAAGAACCGAGGTACAAAGAAAAACCACATGGGATTATTACTGCCTAAAGAAAGCTAAAAGATATATTTATGGATTTTTTTTTTGTTTAGACTTTAATACCTCAAGCAAACTGTCTAGGAGATCCATCGTCGGAAAAAGTTCAATTTTTTTGTTTATTTTTATTTTAAACGATTTTTCTTAGGAGCTACTAAAATACTACACAACTACCAAAATAAAATTAAGAAGTTAACATTTTTCTATATCCTACAACTAATTATCTAGAGAATTCTCCCACCCCACACTTAAAGGAATGTAGTGTCCCCAATGCACAAATAAAGCAAAACAATAAGGGTGTACAAGAAACTCCCTAAAAGGCCGAAGCAATCACGACTCACGGGGTACTTAGACTTCCCCCAGGCATGGTCCTTTGTGCGGGTACCCCACAATAGTTCCAACCATCTGGCTCGCTTTTGCATACTTCCATTGGTTTTTCTTCCTATACTCATAATCCTACAAAGTAAAATAACACTACAAAAATAATAATAAAAATAATAAAATAAATAAAAATAAAAGAAAGCGGTAAAGCTAGGTTGCCTCCCAACAAGCACCTAATTTAACGTTGCGATACGACGTGAACCACTTTCTACCTCCACCTCGAACTTATGAATTATACTCCTAACATGGCATCCAGTCTGTGGATATAATCCTTTGGTGGGGATACAAAAATAAATAGGTCAAATAATAAATTTTTCACTCTATACTTCTCGGCCTTTATATAAGGAATGTAATTTTTTTTCTCTGGCACGACAAATCCAAGAATGTAAGCAGCTTGTTCCTCTTCCATTGACTCCTCCAAAGGCTCAGATGACTCGATTTCTATGTCATCATCAAAACACAATGTCGAAAAATGTTTAGAATGAGGACCAACATGCCCCAACTCTAGAACTGTATCACTATTTACATCCTCATATGCACACCCACTAGAATCTTCAACTATAATATTATCTACTTCCTCAAATGACTCTAGAACACTCTTCTCAACATGGACATCCTCAATAAAAATATGGTCTCATGCTTAGTATTCTCGTTTTAGCTCCTCAATTTGGTCTAGAAATTTTTTTTTTGTTTCACACAACTCATCATTAAATTGTTGGGCGTTGAACACAAGAACCTTCACACTCAAATATGCATCCAAGTTGTGCAAAGCCAAGCCAAACTTGTCAATTTCTTGTGCAAGATCAACTCTCTCCTTCGACCAATCATTCACCAATTTTGTTAGAAGAGAACATCGCTTTGCATATTCCCTTAATCATGAATATCCGTCCCAATACCAACCCTTATTCCCATATTCAAATTCCGACCACCCAGAGTTCAGGTCATGACAAGTCCAAAAAGACAGGCTGTAAAAGTTTTCTGTCAACCAAGCGTCTTCATCAATAACCTTACCTCCGAATATTTCATCTCCAGATGTCATGTTGAGAGAACTAGAAACACACTAAGAGAAAAATCAAATTATTATAAAGTGACTCGAAAGTCGGATGTCGAACCCACAGAGACATAGATTAACCGTTAATTAAGCAAACTAAAATCAATTTAGTGTCCAAGATGATCAAAAGTTTAACTTTTCTATTACACCTACTATTGTGAAATTTAAACATGTAACCAAGGGAGATATAGATTCCAAGGTTGTGATTGGTTTATCAATCCTATTGAGTTCATAATTACACCTGTTAATCCAAATTATCTATGGTTTCTGGTTGACCGGATCGTTTATATAAATAGCATATTCCCACAATACTATCTGTCTATCCATACTATATTAACCCTATATTCATATGGTCTTGAATCTATCATGAACGAGCAAGATTGTTAGGTATATTCCTATCCTAACTGCAAAATCGTTCCCCGAACAACGGGTTCAGAAACAAGCTCTCTCCAATTCTACTATAATCTAAACACGACTTTTCCAAACATAATATAGATAGTAAATAGAACTCAACTGATAGCTAAATAATTAGGCAATTATGCACAGAATTATAGAAACAACCAAAGATGTGTCACGGCCCAATTTCCCCTCAGTTGGGTATCGTGATGGCACCTAGTCTTAGGGACTAGGTAAGCCTAAAATTAAATGAAATAACAACAATATTTAAATAACATCTAACAATTTGAAATAGAAATCTCTTTAAACTTTACAACCCCAAAACTGGTATTACAAATTATAAGCTCTACAGAGTTCACTATAACTTCTAAATACAACTGTTTGGAAGTAGGTAAAATAAGTGTAAATACAAGATAGGAAGGTGACTCCGAAGCCTGCGAACGCAATAGCAGGTTTACCTTGAGTCTCCACAGCAACGGCCTGCATATCTACTAACGAGAAAACACTTGGATCTGTACAAAAATGTACAGAAGTGTAGTATGAGCACACCACAACAGTGCTCAGTAAGTATCAAGACTAACCTCGGTGGAGTAGTGGCGAGGAATAGTCGAGACACTCACTAGTCTAATAAACTGAACAAGTATAGGAATAGGAACATCAGAATAAGATATCTGTATAAAGACTACGCAATATGGCTAACAATACAGTAATTGCAATAAGAAAGGAAACAACAAGTATCAGTGAAATACCATAAAAATGACACAGAAGAGTGAATGGAACACAACCTATATACGGAATCACATATACATCAAGGACAAGTAATAATTCAGCAACTACAATCGCTTTTACATAAGGTTTTAGCCAACAACTCCATGAGGTACTGAACCTCGGACGAATCACAACTCACGGGTCTCAATACCTGAACCCTAACACTTGGCATCTTGTGCCCTCATAACACCACATAACCACACTGACGACTCACGTGCCAATAGAGCCATTTTCACATAAAAGGCAAGTAACAAGGGTGTGCATCCATACTCAACAATATCAAGAAAACCTCCTATCTGATAAGAGTGTTTAACTACATGTATGCTTGTGCAAGTGTGCTAACATAGTCCATACCAGCAAATAAGCATAAGGAAAAGAACGGACAGCACATAGAATGTTTTCTCACAACTTTCACAAGATAAAGCTCACACAGGTAATTGTACCACTACACAAATATCAACAACAAGAATGCCCCCAGGCCATCACAAATCAATCCCTAATATAGCTCACCTTGTCTCGTCACATATGCAATAGTAAAGTAAATGCCCGCCTTATCTCGCCACACATGCATAATAATGTTCCCACCTTATCTCTCCACATGCGCAACCCATATATATATATATNTCCCCATAACAACAACCGCACGGTAGAAACCTCGTGCATCACCAGAACAAGTTCAACAACTAATGACAATAATACAAAGTACGGCGAGTAGTCAACTCAAGAACTTTAAATCACAAAGAAACGATAAAATCAGTTCACAAGGAATAACAACAGTAAAGAATGCTAGGCGTAAAGAGAACAGCTCAACAAGGGAAAACTAATATGTAGCAACTGTCACGACCCTAAACCCAGACCCGATCATGATGGCGCCTCTCGTGAAGACAAGGACAGCCGACAAAACCCCCCAATTAAATTAACAGATATAAAAATTCATAATTAAGTTATTAACAATTATAAATCCCATAATAAAAGTGAACTAGTACAATTTGCGGAAACCAACACAGGCCGACATTGGGGTGTCACCAGTCACGAGTATCTAAACATGTGTCTAAGAGTCTAAAAGAGTTTATACAGTCTATTACATAACTAGAAACAGAAAGTAAGATAAGAGGAAGAGACACTGGGTTGCGAACACCGAGCAGCTACCTAGTGGACTCTGAATAGCTTGCTGGGAGCAATCAACCCTAACTGGTGGGACCTGAAGCTCCTAAATCTGCACACAGGGTGCAGGGAGTAAAGTGAGTACTCCAACTCAGTTAGTAATAACAATAAATGAAGACTGAGCGATAAGATATCACGTAAAACACAACAACATGCTATAAAAAGGTAGAGTAAAACCAGTAAAATGCAGTAAAACAGTGAAACCTTATAAGCTTCTTTAAAACACCTTTTTAACAATTAGACAAGTAAATGAGAAGCAGCGAGAAGAAGATAAACACATCAAATCAGCCCCTCGGTCACAATATCAATAGAATCAACCCCTCGGGGAATAACATGGAACAACACCAGCCCCTCGGGCTATATCACATATCACACTAGCTACCCGCGCTCACTAGGGGTGTACAGACTCCGGGAGGGACCCCTTACGGCCCAAGTGCAATATCAAGTCATCTCGTGGCATAATCAGTAGGCTCTCGGCCTCATATTAAGCCAACTTATGGCGTACAACTCAGGCCCTCGGCCTCATAATCATAATCAGTACCACACTGTTGCGGCGTGCAGCCCGATCCATAATAATCCTTACAACACAGGCTCCGGCCCTACTTAGTCAGAAATCGCTAAAAGCCACTCGAGCACAGTAAAACATGATGCTCAACCCAAAATATCATTTAAAGTGTTAAAATAGAGTAAACATGACTGAGTTATGAAAACAGTAGAATATAGCATGACTGAGTACAGATATAAAGTCAAAATAGTGAGGAAATAGCAGTAAAAATCCTCTAAGGGTCCAAATTGTTGGCATGAGGCCCAAATATGGCATTCAGCCCAAAATGTGATGATAACAAACAGTTTTCAATCAAATATGCCGTAAAACAGTCATTTGGGATGGACTAAGTCACAATCCCCAATGGTGCACGACCCCACGCTCATCATCTAGCATGTTCATCACCTCAATATAGCATAACGATGTGAAATACGGGGTGTCATACCCTCAGGACAATATTTACAATCATTACTCACCTCTATTCGGTCCAAACTCTAGCCCGCGATGCTTTTGCCTCTTGAATCGGTCTCCCTATGCTCCAAATCTAACCAAAATCAGAATCACGATATCAAAATATGCTAAGGGAATGAAGCCCATGCAAAAATAATCAAATTACAACATAAATCTCGAAATTAGCCAAAACCCGACCCCCCGGCCCACGTCTCAGAATTCGATAAAATTTACATCAATAGACTCCTTATCCTCCCACGAGTTCATTCATATCAAAAGTACCAAAATCCGACCACAAATGGACCCTCAAATCCCCAAGTCAAGGTCTCCAATACCAAGCCCTAATCCCCAATTTTTAACCCTTATTTTCTATTAATCTTAGGCCAAATCAGTAGAATAATGCCATAGGATCGATTATTAGGTTCAAAAATCTTACCTCCAAACATTATCCCTTGAATCCCTCTTCAAAATAGCTCCCTCAAGCTCAAACCCGAATAGCTCAAAATCACGAAGGAAACCTTTTATACTTTCTGACCCAGACTTTCCGCACCTGCGGTCCTTTTCTCGCTTCTGCAGCCTAATCACATGTGCTACTGTAGGTGCGCCCACTTCACCACTTCTGTGGTTCCTGATGATCTTCTTCTTGGCTGCATCTGCGGCTGCCTTCCGCTTCTGCGAGCATCGCACCTGCGGCCTCCCTACCGCATGTGAGGTTATGACAGCAACAAAATACTTCAGCTGCACCAACTCAACTTCAAACTTTCCACCAACCATCCGAAATTACCCCGAGGCCCCCGAGACCTCAACCAAAAGCACAAACCAGTCATATACCACTACACAAACTTATACCAATCTTCAAAACACCTCAAACAACATCGAATCAACCAAAACACATCGAATTTAAGCCTAAGGTTCCAAAATCTTCCAAATTTCACTTTTGATCAAAAAGTCTATCAAACCACGTCCGAATGACTTGAAATTTTGTGCACACATCCCAAATGACAAAACGAAACTACTGCAAATCCTAGAATTTCATTCTGACCACTATATCAAAATCTCACCTATCAACCGGAAAACACCAAAATTCCAATTCAAGCCTAAATCTACTCCGAACCTCCAAAACACGTTCTTATCACACTCCTAAGTCCCAAATCAACTCCCGAAGCTATCCGAACCATCGAAATTCGCATCCGAGCCCTTTAACACATAAGTCACCATCCGGTTGACTTTTCCAAGCTAAGCTTACTCAAAAGAGACTAAGTGTCTCAAACCTTACCAAAACCTCTCCGAATCCGAGCCAACCAACCTGATAACACAAAATACAGCTGAAAAAGGCAATAAGAAGCAGAAATGGGGAAAACGGAGGGGTAACTCATGAAACAACCGATCGGGTCGTTACATCCTCCCCCTCTTAAACAAATATTCATCCTCGAACGAGTCAAGAAACATACCTGAAGCCTCAAACAGGTGAGGATATCTGCTCCGCATGTCCCGCTCGGTCTCCCAGTTAGCCTCCTCCATGGGCCGACCTCTCCACTGCACTTTCACTGGAGCTATATCCTTTGACCTCAACTTTCAAACCTGACGCTCCAAAATATCTACTGGCTCCACATCATAAGTCAAATCATCATCTAACTGAACCGTGCTAAAATCCAGAACATGAGACGGATCCCCAATATACTTCCGGAGCATAGAAACATGAAATACCGGATGCACACTCGAGAAGCTGGGTGGTAAAGCAAGCTTATAAGCCACCTCCCCAATCCTCCGAAGTAACTCAAAAGGCCCAATAAACCGAGGACTCAGTTTACCTTTCTTCCCAAATCTCATAACACCCTTCATGGGTGAAACCTTCAACAGAACCTTCTCACCAACCATGTAGGACATATCCCGAACCTTCCTGTTAGCATAACTATTTTTGTCTCGATTGCGCTGTACGAAGCCTCTTCTGAATCACCTTCACCTTGTCTAAAACATCCTGTACCAAGTATGTACCCAATAGCCTAGCCTCACCCGGCTCAAACCAACCAACTGGAGATGTACACCACCTCCCATACAAAGCCTCATATGGAGCCATCTGAATACTTGACTGGTAGTTGTTGTTTTAAGCAAACTCTGCGAGCAGTAGAAACTGATCCCATGACCCTCCGAAATCAATGACACAAGTATGCAACATGTCCTCCAATATCTGAATAGTGCGCTCGGACTGTCTGTTCGTCTGAGGGTGAAAAGTTGTGCTCAACTCAACCTGAGTAACCAACTCTCGCTGCACAGATCTCTAAAACTGCAAAGTAAACTGAGTATCCCTATCTGAAATGATGGAAACTGGGACACCATGCAAACGAACAATCTCCCGGATATAGATCCTTGCAAATCCCTCTGATGAATAAGTAGTACACATAGGAATGAAGTGTGTGGACTTGGTCAGCCGATCCACAGTCACCCAAATAGCATCGAACCTCTTCAAAGTCCGAGAGAGCCCAACTACAAAGTCCATGGTGATCTGCTCCCATTTCCACTCTGGAATATCCATCTGCTAAAGCAAGCCACTCAGTCTTTGATGCTCATATTTCACCTGGTGACAATTGAGACACCGAGCTACAAATCCCATAATGTTTTTCTTCATTCTCATCCACCAATAATGTTGTCTTAGATCCTGATACATCTTTGTGGCACCCGGATGAATGAAATACCGCAAGCTACGGGCCTCCTCCAGAATCAACTCCCGAAGCCCATCTACATTGGGCACACATATCTGGCCATGCATCCTCAACACATATTTGGCGCTCTCTGATGCGATCAAATGAGGAAGATCGAGAAATCACACAAGCCCATACCCGACTGGGCTCCGAAATATACAACCTCACGAACCGATTGGCCAAGGCCTGAACATCAACCGCAAGATGTCTCTCCCCAACTAGAATATATGCCAAACTCCCCACACTCACTGCCTTTTGGCTCAAAGCATCGGCTACCACATTAGCCTTCCCCGGATGGTACAAAATAGTAATATCATAATCCTTTAGCAACTCCAACCATCTCCGCTGCCTCAAATTGAGATCCTTCTGCTTGAACAAGTGTTGGAGGCTACGATGATCAGTAAACACCTCACAAGATACACCATACAAGTAATGCCTCCAAATCTTCAGCGCGTGAACAATGGCAGCCAACTCCAAATCATGAACAGGGTAGTTCTTCTCATGGGGCTTCAACTGACGAGAAGCATAAGCAATAACTCTACCCTCCTGCATCAACACACACCTAATGCCAACTCTTGAAAAATCATAATACACGGTATATGAACCTGAAGCTGATGGCAAAACTAACACTAGATTTGTGGTCAAAGCAGTCTTAAGCTTCTGAAAGCTCTCCTTACACTCATCCGGCTACCTGAATAGAGCACCCTTCTGGGACAACTTGGCCAAGGGCGATGCGATAGATGAGAATCCCGGAACAAATCGGCGGTAATAACCCGCCAAACCAAGAAAGCTGCGAATCTCTATGCCTGAGGACGGTATGGGTCAACTCTGAACTGCTTCTATCTTCTTCGGATCAACCTAAATACTGTTGATACCCAATTTTCCCCTATGTATTTTATACCCAAAATATTTTCAAAATAGCATGTATGTGCATATAGAAGCACATCCAAGAGTTTTGGTACTTTTGTGATTTTTAAACCAATTTACTGCCTATTTAATTACCACAAAAATCCAAAATCATTCCCAAAATTATCATTTTTGATGAATAACTTATTTCATTCTCATATTTATACCAAAATATAATTAAGTTAATTTTTACACATTTTTACAAATTCATAAGGCATTTTTAAAATCAAATTATATAAAGTTTCAATTATAGCCTATCTTGTAATTTATAACATTTTATACCTATAAAACTAACACCAGTATTTTTAAATTAATATTTATATAATAGTTATTTACTCAGTACTTTTAATTTGCTTTTAAAATTGTTACTACTATTTTTATAAATCAAATAGGGAAAATTGGCTATTTAATGTGAGCCCAATTTTATTTCGATTATATCTAGTTTTGCACCCAAATTTGACCCCAAAATCAAGCCCAATCATCCCAACCCAATTACCCAATTAACCCGACCCAACGCCCAATCAACCAAACCGGCCTGTGTTCCTTTTAATCTGAGCTGTTGATCATTTTGATCAACGGCCCAGATTCCCCCTTACCTTAATTAATTCCAACGACCCCCTAATCCTCTCTCATTTTCCCAATCCGTCACCTTCAAACGCTCTCGTCTCTCGAGCTCTCTCAAAACCCTAGCCGCCTCCCTCCGATTACCACCTAAAGTCGCCTGAATCTATGGCCTCCAAAGCCATTAACGGCCTGTACCTACCTCCTAAGGCTCTTAGGTGCTCAACTATCTTTGTTTCCGGACCAGACCTTGAAGAAGCTTGGCCTAAACCCTGTTTGATTCGAGTTCTTGGCTTGTCTCCGACCTTGCTCCGGCCAGCCATGGCTGTTCAATCTTGGATTTGACATCTCCTGCTTAGATCGTGATTTTCCAATCCTTTCTCGCTATTTTGGGTTTCTTCTGAAACCCTAAACCTTCGAGGTTCTTCTGATATTTTTAGATCCATTGTAGATCTATGTTCTCTTTAAGCTTATGAGCACTTTTTCGAGATTTTCTTCAAAACCCTATTTTCAAAGCCTTTATTGTTTTCGATTTAGGGTTTCGTTAAGTTATTTCAAAGCTTTCCTGATTTCGTAACGTGTTCTATCATGTTTTTTTATGTGGTTCCCCTACCGTGTTTATTATGTTGTACTTTTACTATGTTTTGTGTGTTTCCCCTTCTGCTGTGTCTCTCTATGTCTTTTTAGAATTCGCATGTCAAGAATCTTAGTTTCTTTTGAGGTTTCTGAATGCTTTCATGATAATGTTTGCTTGATTACTTGTCTTTCACCTCTACACTCGATTGATGGCAAAAGCCCTAATATTTGGGGTTCAGTCGAGTCCTGAGGTTATTTGTTATGTGATCTGCTTGGTTATCATCTCCAAATGTGTTTGATTTCAAAGCCCTAATTCTTTGGACCTATTCGAGCTTCTGAAAACTACTTCGTCTATTTGAAGTTGCTCAACTAGATTCAAAGTCCGTCTTGTTTTAACTACTGTTCCTTATGAGATTTTGGTTTTCTTTAATCTTTGGAATAAGCTATACTCCCCAGAAGGGTCGTTTGCTTCACTCTTTTAGCATGCTTTTGATTCTCTTTTCTCCTTATACGACTATTATGTTTCATTATCACTACTGTTTCTCTTTGCCATGATTTAACCTCACATGCCTAATAATGTGCACTCTTTATATACGCTGGTTGTCCCTCTAAAAATGACTGTCAATTTTGGACTGATTTCAGACCTCCTTGTGTAAGTCCGATTGATTCTTTCCTTGTTTGATGTGAAAACTTTATTTAGCCTTTCGATTCCCCTATTACCGACTTGGTTCATTGGTAGTTTTGAATCCCTGATTCATTGATTTACTATGTACTAATTGATTTACCGTGTTCTTGCCTTATTTGGGTTGACCGCATGTTTTAAAGATTGTTTCCTTAGTTAAACCCCCATGTATTTACCCCTGATTTCCTACTTTATGCAAGATGTTTACTTGATTATCTTTCCTTAACTGATTGTTGTCCATTACCGTTTGGGTTTAAACTCCTTATTAAAGGAAGTATCTATGTTGATTGATTGTAATTGATATATAGTTCCATAATTACTATGATTTTCCCCTACTCTCTACTTATTTT